GTGCCGGCAAAACTCATGTCTTTCAGGGGTGTGACTATTCCACCACCATGAGTAATGTAAGTTACACCAACAGAAACGTGTGTGCACAGCGCTATGTCGGCGCTTCTGCCTCTTGTAGAAGAGGTTCTTTTTATGCTATGAGAGGAGTCTTTCCCATCAGCACGAAGCATCTTAACCAGAGGCGCTGCAATGGCGCTGCTGTGTGCAGTGCTTTTTTTCTGACGGTACTGCCCAGAACGGCATACCGCCACCTAATTTCCCAGCTCACAGAAAGGAAATGTAATTTCCCCCATGCATCCTGGCACCTGTTTTCCTGGGGCGGCTCGGCTCCTGATGGGAGCCTGCTTGGGACATGCGGTGTTTTTTCTTCTGGATCCCGACGTGGCACTGTGGCTCTTAAAGGGGCTGCAACTAACTTTTGGTCCCTAGCATGGGGTTTTTGTTTGTTTGTTTGTTTGTTTGTTTGTTTGTTTGGCTCAACAAGTTTTCCTTTTTTTTTTTTTTGCTCACCAACTTTGCCCCAGAGTCCTGGCACCTTTTTTCTTACCAAATAGCACTGGCTGTATGTATAGACACAGCCTGCATGTACCAACCTCAGTAGACTGTCAAAAGCCGGGCAGTCACTCCAAACTGGTGGAAGATTCTATCATCGGATTTCACCAACTTAGTCTTAGATCACAGAACACTAGAACTGGAAAGGGGCCTCTAGAAGTCATCAAGTCCAGTCCCCGGCCCTCATGGCAGGACCAAGCACCATCTAGATCCTCCCTGATAGATGTTTGATGGAGCTGAGTGCGGGGGGAACTCAGGGTTGGGAAGTGGTCGAGGGGGAGGCGCCCAGGTAAGGTGGAGGGACATTGGAGATGTGTTTCTGGTGGATTCCAAGACTGGAATAGCCGAGGGGGGTTGTGGATCAGGACCAGGTGGTACTGGCAGTGCTCTGTATGAGTGTGAGCTGGATGGCGTAGGTGAAGTGTGCGCTTAGCCTGTTCTCACCACACCTCGCTCACACTAGCGGTATTGGTCAGTGAGCAATTAAATCGCTTGACGCTACGTTAGCCCAAACCAAAGTCCGTCTTGGCATGTGAAATGCCTCCCAAACCAGAGGCGTCTATTTTTCATTCCCAGAGCTGAAAAACATCGGCCATGAAAGGCGTGGGTATAAATCATCTCGGGGCTAGGGCCTTTTGTGCCGGGTTTCAGCCTGAGTGACTTTTTATAGCTGAGTTATAAACTTTTAAAGGCCAAGCTAAATCATAGTGCTACTCAGACAACCCCTCCAGGAGGGGCTTAAGGGACATGGCTCTGATATATCTGTACCACATCTCCAAGTACACTTAGCTCAGGCGGCAGCTGCGTGTCCCATTTGCAGTGAGCTTTCTCCAGTTTGGAAGAGAGTGAGGTTTAATGATTAAAGAGGGGCCCAAGCCTCAGGACTTGGGGATTTTAGCCTTGTTTCTGCTGCTGTGTCATCCTGTGACCTTGAGCAAGTCACTTATCCTTTGGGGGCCAAACTTTTTTCTCAGTTACACAGGGGCAAATCCAAATGACTGCACCAAACTCTGGATTCACGCAGCCATAAGTGAGAGCTGAATTTCACTCTGTGTTAAATGAGGATGAGAATATCTGCTTCCTTCTAAATGAGGTTGCAAGAGTTTGTGAAGTACTTTGGGGTCACCAATAGATGGTGTGCTGTAAGCCCAGGAAGTGCAAATCCAAATTCTACATTTTATGCTAGTTGAAGTTGGTTCCCTGGCATCATACTGGACTCATAGAATCATCAGAAACTGGGGAGTCAAAAGGCTGAGCCATCTAGTTCTAAAAAATTGCAAGATGTCACAGTTTCAACCTCGGATCCTGGAGTAATGTCCCGTTCCAATAACTTTGATAGGTAAGCAGAATCAGCGTTGGATCAATGGAACAGAACCTTTCATGGAGATACTTCATGAATGAAAATACAGAACTTTTCTTGGGGTTCTTTTTCTAAATTTATTTGTTTATTAAACAAACAGAAACTACAACATGCATCAGATACTTTTTTTTCTTTATTGTACAACAAAACTACGGTTGTCACTTGTAATTCCAGCATTCCCAGCAACATCAGGCAGACTTTTTTGATGTTATCCAGTTTTGCACAGTCACTAGAGTGTCGCGTCATGAATTATTAAATCAGTGCTTCGTGGTAATACATAATTTCTTATCAATTATTCATGCTAATGTGTGTGTAGTTTACTTAATTGTGTTATTGACGATCAAAAGTAATTTCCTGAAAATCCTCAAGGACAGAAAATTTAATCAGCATAACTACTTTTCAGATGCAATGCTGTTAAGTATTCTTAATTTGCTCAACAATTCACTTATTTATGTACCTTTCTGGAGGAAATACGAGTTTAATCAAACAATTAGATTGAAGAGTTAGTGTACAGAGGGGCTGGAGAGCAACTGAATGCAAAGTAATTATGTTGAAATGAAGTTGGGTTTGCCTATTTTAAACACATCTCTTTTTTTTTCTTCTCCAGAAATCTAAAACAGAAATTATGACTGATAAAAGGGTGATTTCCCTATCCCTTAAGACAGACGCTTGTTTTTCCTTTGGTGGTAGGAAGGTGGTAGGGTGCTGTTGTTTAAATTAATAATAATAGCTTGAATTGACAGATAATTTATAGTCGTGAAATCTTCATTACTTACCATTCAGCAGCGTTGGAACAACAATGATGATCAAAAGCTATTGCACATTCCCCCTTGGTTAGGACACGGTTTTATCATCAGTGCAGGGAAAAAAGTACGAGAAAGGGCTGAATTAAAGAAACAAATCCCGTTCCACCAAAGCCCAGACCCAGTGGAGTTTTCCTTGTGCTCAGGCTGAGGGAGAAAATAAAACCCAGGCCCCGGATCAGCCTGTGTCAACGGGATCAGGATTGTGCCTTCCGCTTGCGCTTACTCTTCATTCGTGGCCCATTCCTGAAAGGTGCTAAGAGGGGTCTCATGTTCATGCACACTCCCTGCTTGAAACCTGCCACTGAGCAGGGCTGGCGAGACAGCATGGGCCAACGGAGATCCCCTCTGCATCTCACGGGCCTGCTTGAAACCTGCCACTGAGCAGGGCTGGTGAGACAGCATGGCCAATAGAGATCCCCTCTGCATCTCACGGGATGAGATACCAGAGGCAGGAGCAGAGATTTGGCTCTCGATAGCAGGCCGCCCGGTCCGATTCCAGGCCTGGCTCGCCGGAGCAGAGATCAATAAGTCCTCAGCACCGCCCTGTCTAATGCAGGAGGCTCTCAGTGCATCGTCAGACAGGATGAGACCCAAAGTGATAGCCCGGTGCCTGGCTGGATAATGCAGCACTTCCGATGACTTGGCGGAGATCAGGGCCCAACGTCAGCCAGCCCTTACAATAAGCAACCCAGCTCCATTGACTTCAATGGAATTTTCCCCCTTTTGCACCAGGCCTCATTTTGGCTCCGTAACTTGATTCGTTTAGGCCCTGATCCAAAGACGGTTGAAGTCAATGCGAAGCTTTCCATTAATTCCGATGCAATTTAAGCTGCGTTCTAGAGCGTTCGTTCCTCTGTGCGTTCCGGGCTGCAGAGAAGATAGCATTTCCAGTAGAGTCAATTTCTCCTTCTTACAGTGCACACAGCCAACGCATTAAGACCCACTCCTGGCTTTCCAGTAAACTCGCAAGCATCAAGAGACAGAGCAGCCTGGTTTTGGCGAGAATAAAGGAAGATCCAGGAATCCTTTCTTCCTCATCCCACACAGAGACGTGTTTGTCCTTTGGCAACGCAGGGTGGCTCCGTTTTCCGCCTTCTCTTTCCACACCCGTTTGCAAAATGGCGTGGAATTCTCCCGGAGACTTTTTCAGAGCTGCACCATCCCAGCTGAAAAAGCCTTTCCATTTCCAGAAACGACGGCCACGGCCGGTCCGATGCTCACGTTACTGCTTGCAAGCTGGCCGTGCTGCCGCTGTGTTTCCAACGTTCCCTGGGAGAGCCACCGCCCGTGGAAACATGTGAGCATGGAACAGCCCAGTGCCGGGATTGCGATCTCTAGCCATTTCGTTGGGCTGGGGAGCGCCGTCTCCGGCTGGAACGCTCGAGGGAAGCTGCGCTCTTCCTCGCGGGATTGGAATGCGTTTGCCTCCGTTTTCTGCTCTTCCGGCCGCACTTGGCTGGGATGGAGTCAGTGGAAGTTGGGGAGAGTGGAAAGTAGGAGGCAAAACTGACACGCAAAGGGTGATATGCTCTCCTCTGGGGTAGAGGGACATGGCCAGGGCAGGCCCCCAACACACAGTCCGTGGCTCAGTTTACCCCATCCCACCATAGACAGCAGGAGCCTTGCTGTGTGACAGCCCTCCAATTCAGAGCTTTTAGCCGTCCGTGGCTCAGTTTACCCCATCCCACCGTAGAAGGCAGGAATCTTGCTGTGCGACAGCCCTACAATTCAGAGCTTTTAGCCAGCTTGGCCGAGAGCAGAGCTGGGGAGTCCCACGGCAAGGCAATGCAGTAGATAGCCCTGCTGGGACTCACCCCACAACCCTCTTGTGCCCAATCCCCTCCCCCATCAGGGTCCATATCAATGCTAGATGGCCTTCCACCCCCGCAGCCCCCTGCCTAAACTCCGGCCCAGCCAAAGGTGTTCAGGGTCAATCCTGCTCCGGACAAAGCCGAGGCTGGGGGCATTGCAGAGTTCAGTGGGAGCAGGCCGGAGCTGTGGAGGAATCGGGGTGCAAGGAGGCTAGAAACGCTGCCATAGATGGTTCCAAACACAGAGGGTGCAGGTAAATCAAAGGAATAAATCTACAGTGGCAGCAGAAAAGCGGGGGGCAGGGGGGTGATGTGCAGCCGGAGTCCCCTCAGATTTGTGTTGGAGCCCCAGGATCCAGTCCAGGTATCTGGTGCGGAAGGGCCCACGTCGCCATCTGTAACAAGGCGTGTCCCGAGGCTGAGGCCCAGGGTTCGTTGCAAGGAGGCTGGTGGGTGGGGACTCCTCCGTCCTCATACGCTCGTGTCTCCGTCCATCTGTTCCTTGGCCGGAGAGGACCCATTCTCCTGGCTAGCCGGGGGGGGGGGGCTGCCGCCGCCGGGGGGCAGGAGGTTGGCAGACTGCAGCACGGCCTCCGAGTGTTCCCGGGCTTTCATGCGCAGGGCTGCCACGCTGGCGGTGCGGTTGCTCTGGCAGCCATAGGTGGGGAGGAAGGAGAGGCCCATGGGGTCAGGAACGCAGCAGGAGCACAGAGGACTCCCTGGTGGGGAGGAAAGAGATAAGCCAGCGTCAGAGTCAGATAACACGGTGTCGCGACCCCCACAGCGCTATTTGCCTTCAGAAGATGTGCCTTTATTCACAGCAATGGGAGCTGGACTTTTCCTGAGTGTAAAGCAGGAATCAAAGGCCCGGGGGCCGGATGTGGCCCCTGACTTGACTGAATTTGGCTCCTGAACATAAGAACGGCCATACTGGGTCAGACCAAAGGTCCATCTAGCCCAGTATCCTGTCTACCGACAGTGGCCAGCACCAGGTGCCCCAGAGAGGGTGGACCGAAGACAATGATCAAGCGATTTGTCTCCTGCCATCCCTCTCCAGCCTCTGACAAACAGAGGCCAAGGACACCATTTTATCCCCTGGCTAATAGCCTTTTATGGACCTAACCTCCATCAAATTATCTAGCTTCTCTTTAAACTCTGTGATAGTCCTAGCCTTCACAGCCTCCTCTGGCAAGGAGTTCCACAGGTTGACTACACGCTGTGTGAAGAAGAACTTTCTTTTATTAGTTTTAAACCTGCTACCCATTAATTTCATTGGGTGTCCTCTAGTCCTTATATTATGGGAACTAATGAAGAACTTTTCTTTATTCACCATCTCCACACCACTCGTGATTTTATAGATCTCTAACATATCCCCCCCCCTCAGTCTCCTTTTTTCCAAACTGAAAAGTCCCAGTTGCTTAAGCCTTTCTTCATATGGGACCTGTTCCAAACCCCTAATCATTTTAGTTGCCCTTTTCGGAACCCTTTCCAAGGCCAAAATATCTTTTTTCAGGTGAGGAGACCACATCTGTACACAGTACTCAAGATGTGGGCGTACCATAGTTTTATACAGGAGCAGTAAGATATTCTGGGTCTTATTTTCTAGCCTTTCTGAGGTTCAAGACTCCCCCCCCCAAGCTTAGGGGGGCCCCACACTGGCACTCCAGCCACCTCGCTGCCAGAGCACACAAAATCTGTGTGTGGCCTCTGACTGATTTTTCTGTGGGTCAGAGGCCCCCGACCCAAATCAGACTCCCCACCCCTGAAAAGCCACAATTAGCATCATGATAACATAGAGCTGGCAGGAAAATGGATTTCCCACGTCGGGAAAATTTCAAGCTTTTGAAAAAAATATATATATATATCCGCCGCTCTTCGGAATGAAAACCCAGCATGGAGAGATTTTACACGGCATGCCCTTCTGAAACAAGCGTCGTTTTAACTCCGTTGAAATAGGTTGTTTTGAGAAAATCATGCTGCATTTTGATTTGGACTTTTTTTTTTTTTTTTTGACTTTTTAAAACCAAAATTTATATCCAATAAATTACAGTTTGAAACAGAAAGGGCTTGGGGAATGAATTTCCTTTCCAGAAATGTCAAAATGGTTCCTGCCCCTCCTGCGGATTCTTTTTCCAAACAAAAGCTCATTGAAAACGAGACAATAGCATGAAAAAAAATGAGTGTTATGAACATGGCATTTCCTGCCGAAAAAATCTTGGACCAAGATTTTTCAACTGGCTCGAGTGATAAAACCATTCTGGGCAGATTCCCAGATGCTGTCAACTTCCACCTCTCTGGGCAACTAGTCTCTGCCTTCTCTACGTCCCAGAAGTGCCCGTCTTTCTCTGCCTGCTTTCCCCATGCTGCCACTTCTCAACAAACTGGTAAGTGTGGACTACATAACCCACAACTGGAGTTGTCTGTGACTACTTCTCCTTGCACCACTGAGCAAGCCAGAATCCCATAGAAGTCCCCACTAACATCTCCTTGCCATCTGAAACGGGTGGGGAGTTCAGGGACAAACTGAGGCTCTGCTGAAGCTCCAACCTGCCCTCTCCTGGGGAGTTTCACAGCCAGAATTATTCCTCCGAGGGATTCCAGCAGTCCCGTAGTTCCTCAGTGCCCCGTTCCCACCCCCAGCCAACATGTTAATCCCCAGCCAGGCCACAGCGCGACACAGCACCCCGGATGCAATGCGGTGCCTGCGTCTGATCGTTCCAAACCAAGGACTTGAATTAATTTCAGCCGTTAATCTCCAAGTTAAATGGCTCATGACAGAGCGATGGATTTTATAACCTGCATGGTGCAGGTATTCCTCCTATCACAGTGCTAACCTCGGTGCTGGGGGTCAGCGGGTGTCTGCCTGAGATGAATTTATAGACAGTTGTTTGTTTTCTGGATATTAGCAAAACTTCTCAGAGACCGCTATTGGATATTAGTTACTTGTCGGCCAGCGCTATTGGATATTAGTTACTTGTCGGCAAGCTTCTGGAGAAAACACCTTCTGAAGAAGCACGATTAAGCGTGCAGTTTATTCATATAACTGAGCTGTCTTTTTAACCCCTGCAGTACTCCTAGATCCAGAGTGTGAGATCAGTGAAGTGACATTTCTGCAGCACACCTTCACTAATGCAGCTAGGCCGCGGGGAAGACACTCTGGCTATGTCTACACTGGGCCACTTATTCCGGAAAATCAGCCGCTTTTCCAGAATAAGCTGCGAGCTGTCTACACTGGCCCTTGAATTTCCGGAAAAGAAACGATGCTCTACTGTACAAAATCAGCCGCTATTCCAGAAGAACTATTCTGCTCCTGCTCGGGCATAATCGTTATTCCGGAACACTGTTCCGGAAAAGGGCCAGTGTAGACAGCCCAGTAGTCTTTTCCGGAAAAAAGCCCGGATTGCAAAAATGGCGATCGGAGCTCTTTTCCGGAAAAGCGCGTCTACATTGGCCACAGACGCTTTTCCGGAAAAAGGGCTTTTCCGGAAAAGCAGCCTGCCAATGTAGACGCTCCTTTTCCGGAAAAACTGAAAACGGAATAGTATTCCGTTTTAAGCATTTCTGGAAATTCATGCCAGTGTAGACACAGCCTCTGTGTTCATAGGACAGCCTAGCAAAACCAACTCCCTGAGAGATGGCAGCTATATTGGTCGGAACAGGCCACACCAGCTTTTAGGTCAGTGTAATTTACATCACTCAGGGCATGTCTACACTACAGAGAAGATTGATCCTCTGGAGGCTGATCTTCTAGTGTTCAATTTAGTGGGTCTAGTGTAGACCCCTAAATCGAGTGCTGAGGGCAGCCACCGCTGGCGTCTGGTACACCCCATTCAGCATGGAGTGAGGGAAGCTGAAGGGAGCATGTACTCCCATTGGCCTGCCGCAGTGTAAACGCTGCCATAACTTGGCTTCAGATATGCTGAATCCAGCTACGCATTTTGTCACCTGCCTGCTCTAACAGGCTACCTCCACACTGCAGCGTTATATCAGGATACTGGAGTATCCCGAAATAGCTATCCCGCGTCTTCACAGTAATCCCGTTATTTCGAAATAGCTATCCCGTGTCTTCACAGTAATCCCGTTATTTTGGGCTCGCTGTCCTAACGTCCCTGTAAACCTCATTCCGTGAGGAGTCAGGGGCGTTTAGGAATAGCACTTTGTTTCAAAATGTGGTGTTGTGGAGACAGTGCCCAACGACAAAATAGGCAATTTCGAAATAGCATCGAAATAAGTGACGTGATTTGTGTAGCTCAAATTGTGTCGCTTATTTCGAGTTACGGTGCAGTGTAGACGCACTCATATCAACCAAGCCTCAGAGGGAATGCTTATTCACACCCTGAACAAGGAAAGTTATTTCGACAAAAAGTGGTCAGGTATACCAGCCATGGCAACAAGGAAAGTTATTTCGACAAAAAGTGTACCAGCCATGGTGGATTGCACAAAGCTGTAGACCTCCCAGCCCTTGGCATCCTCAGTCCAAACCTGCAGATGTTGCTGACTTTAGTGACCTGAACATCTCTGCCTTGAGTTTTTGGTAGGGATGTTAAAAAGTTTGCAATTGGGTAACCGCTGACCATTTCTGCGGTTACACAGCTACACACTGCAGGCTCAAGCCCACGGCACAGCCATCTGCCCGGGAGCTGAGAGGGCTGGCCCTACCCCCAGGGAGACGGATGCACTGCACGTTCTGCAGTGTAAGATTTACTGCCACCCCATGCTGCTGCTTCTGTATCC